TTCGCCTTCACCCACAGCGGTGGTTTGCCTCGGGCTTCACCAGCCTGTTGTCACCGTGAGGCAGGGAAGGTGCCGCCTGCTGAGCGGTCGTGAGGGGAAAGGCGTGTGCGGCTGTCCGGCCAGCGACCCCACGAAGGCTCACACCCGTTAGCTCTCGCTTTCCTCATACGACGTTCGTGCCGTCATGCCGCCTCTCTGGCCTGGGAACTCATTTAATCTTCCCAGGACTCAGAAATCTTTTTTTTTTTTTGTGATGAATAATATGAGTTCTACTCTCTTAACCGATGTTTAAGTGCACAGCTCAATAGAGTTAAGTGCATTCACATTGTTGTGCAACTAATTGCTAGATATTTCCGTCTTCCCAAACTGAAACTGCCCCCCTAAACACGGACTCCCCATCCGCTCCCCCATGCCCCAGCACCCTCGGTCTACTTACTTCCTGTCTCTGCGAATTAGGTGGCTCTGGGGACCTCCCGTAGGTGGGATTACACAGGGTTTGCCCTCCCGTGACTGGCTTATTTCTCTTGGCATAATGTCCCCAAGGCTCACCCATGTTGTCACGTGTGTCAGAATCTCTGTTGTAAAGGCTGAATGCTCCGCTGTGTGGGTGGACCACAGTTTCTTTATCTGTTCATTAGCCGGCCGGCTGCTGTGAACATAGGGTGCAGGTGTCTATGTGCGTCCCTGCTGTCGGCTCTTTTGGACAAATACCCAGGAGTGGAATTGCTGGCTCATATGCATGGTTGTTCTATTTTTAACATTTTGAGACCCTTTTTTCTGTGTCCATGGCAGCTGCACATTTTCGCCTTCCCACCAGCAGTGCAGGAGGTCCCTTTACGCCACGTCCTCACCAACACTTGTTGTTTTCTATGTTTTTCTTTTTCTTTTTTCTTTTTGAACAAGGCCATCCTAACAGGAGTGAGGTAACAACTCATTTCCCAGATGATTAGTGATGCTGAGCAATTTCTCACATCCCTGTTGGCCATGCATGTGCCGCCTTTGGGAAAACGCCCGCTTTATAATTGGCCCATCCACACGCTGGGTTGGAAACCTCCGTCTCAAATTTCCTGGCCTTTGTGTGGAGCCTGGACCCTGGGCCAGCAGCCCAGTCGGCTCTGGAGAAGTCCCTGATGTGTCCACGTCACCAGGCCACGCTCGTGCACCACGGGTGGGGTCCGGATAGTTCTGGGCTGGACTCTGTCTTCCCAGGAGGCTCTGGGTCGCTGCTGCACAGGGAGGAGAAGCCCTTTGCCGTCTCTATTTAAGTGCATTACATTCGCGTAACTAAAAGAGGCAAATCTAGTGGGTTTTTCCTTCACTTGAATAATAAAATGCTGTCCCTATGTGATTTTATTTCCTCCCATTCACACACAGAAGCAGCAAGCACACATTGATCTTTTATATGTCACCAGACACAGGACCATATGCAGATGAGGGGCCTTCTCTTGGGGATGGAGTGGGTGATTTCAGTTTAATATCTGCAAAGAAAGAACCCCTGAAATAAAGAGAACAGGGGTTCACGTAGCACACAAGAGCTGGTTTTGCAGAAAAATCGCGTCTCTCTCTGTTGTGTTTAGAGAATTGGTCCCTTTGAAGCTCACAGTCACCAGGTGGCTGGCCTCGGGGACAAATCCAAGGCCAGTTCCCCCTGCACTGTCCCCACCACAAGGGTCACATCTATCACCTCAGTCTGCCCTTGTCATTCCTCGGGAGTTGCCCCGTGTGGGTAAACTGAGTCCTTTGGTCACGTGCTGGGCTTTTTTTCTGTATTTTCCACTGAGCCTCAGACACTGGACTCCCGAGTCCATCAACCCGTCTTGGAGACCAACATGAAACTCTGAAAAGATGCTGCCTGATTTCCTTTCAGTGGTAGCAGCCTGAGGTTTTATGGTGGCGTTATTAACGTGCCTCACTCCACCAATAACGAGGAAAGCTTCACCATAACGGTTTGCCCCACGAGCGTGTAAGTCGCGTTCTGTAGTCTGATGCAGAGTGTAGCCTGTTTTCTAAGTGGTCCTCACAGATGTCCCACTTTTAGACAGTCTATCAGCCCGAGAAACAAGCGTCGCTGCTGCAGAGACAAGATGATCAGCCAGTATCCGAAACAGCCAAAACTATTTAGTTCTCTCAAATGGACTTTCTCTCCAAACCCATTTTCACAAAAGCTCTTTTCTTAATTTTACACTTATTACTGTCAGACTTTGGGGAAGCACTGCTCTGTGACAGCATCACATTAATATAACTTTCCAGTCTCTTTACTGTTTGAGAGATGTGCAGTCTTAGAATTCAGCCTGAGCCCTGAGCTCCGACAGAATGTCAGCATCTGTTCTCGGCCAGCTCAAGTGGCGAAGTCGTCACTCAGGATGGTTACTGGGACATTGTGGTTAGGAAATCAGCCAGACCGGGTGTCCCGGCATCCTGGGAAATGTTCACAGGGCGCCTGGCTTCCTCTGTTTCTGGAAAAAGATGGGATGGCAGCTTTACCTCGATTCCTGGACTCCCACACTGTTGACTTGTACCCTTTGTGGAGTTTAGTGATGTGCTTCCCCTTGGATGTGCTAGTACCCTCCAAGATTTGGCTGCGTGGCTTTGACATATGCGATCAAAAGTTAACTGACACCGAATTCAGACTCGTGTACCGATGCTGCACAAGCCTCCTTGTCCCAGGGCACGTTGTGCTGCTACTGGGGTCTTTGGGGAACTTGAAAAGCAGTTTCCAATTTGCATATGTAAATGATGTGGCCATGATGGCTGTTTTTTTGCAAGCTCAGTAATTACTGCTTGCAGACACATCCATAAATTAAATTAAGTACATGGCAGTTTGTAAGAACCTCGTGTTTTTTTCTAGAATGTTACATGGTATTCCTCTCTTCCAGGGACAAACCACAGTGAACAAAGGGTTCTGAGTGCAGACTCGGCTGGTGGAAGCGATGGGTCCACCTGAATGACAGCTCAGCGCGGGCGCTGGGCAGCCCCACGGGTTCTGTGGGGCGAGGGGTTTGAGTCCTGAGGACCATAGTGACTCTTCAGGAAACTACTTAAAAATCATGAAGCTCCCACAGGACAACACCCTAAACATTTTGAGCTTTCTGCTCATCACCACTTAGAAAAAGTCAAAATAAACAACAGTCCATCAAAATCAGTCAACAGATGGTGCTGCTGTCGAGGTTAAGGAGGGACTCACGCGCAGGGGATGGAGAAAGGGGCTCCTGTCCTTTGGTTCTGCTGCCTGGACGTCAGGGTGGCTCCACGCACGTCTGTGCCTCTGTCCCTGCAGGCGGGCGTCCCTCCAGGCGGGTGTCCCTCCAAGCTGAATCCGTTCTCTCGAAGGCTCTCTGCTGGTAGCAGAGCTGACAGCTTCAGTGTGAATGTCCCATCGCCGTCCCAGGAAAGGGGCAGTTCCAGAGGACAGGTACACATGGTCCCAACAGAGGGGCCAAGTGGACTTCATGTTTAAAGGGAGTTTGAAGTCACTGTTGAGCGATCAAATCCTGGGTTACGAAGAGAAGCAGCTCGAAAGGCAGGGATGGTGGTGGGCGGGGTGCCTTCCCCGGGGTGCTGCCATCCCCCCTGCCTGCGGCTGTGTGCCCCCCCCCACCTGCGGCTGTGTCCCCCTTCATCCTGCCCACAGTGCAAAGTCCAGAGAGCCTTCTTCAGAGGGCTGGAAGGCACATGGTGACGGAACAGTCCAGACCATGTTGTTGTTGTCCTTTAAGATGATACAGCTTTCTTTCTGATGTCGCTTCAGCAGTTTAGAAAAACTATGCTAGGATTTTGAAAAAAATTTAGTTACTAGGATGCCAATCAAACAGCAGTCACCTTGAAGAGAATTTTGTTGTTCTTCATTATTTTGGAATTTTGTTATATCAAAGTTGAAGAAAAAAATCAGAATAATGCATTTGAAGCTCCCTCGTCATGGGTGGGTTGGCAAAGAATCATATCTCGCCATGAAAACATGAAGACGTTAAGGTCATTTTTCCCAGACTAGCATAACTTTAAAACAGTATGTCTCACTTCTGCTTCAGCTGTGGGGCCACCACTGACTTGCTTGTTGATGTGACATGGGGACATATGTGGGGAATTTGCAGGAAGAAAAATGACATCAATTTGTGGCTTGTTTTTGTTTTTCAGCAGCATTTGGGATCTTTAAAATGGGAATTAGGGATCTGGGAGTTTGTTTTGAGTATTTTTTTATTTGTTTATTTCTTAACGGGAGCACCGCGATCTCTGCAGGAAACTCACCCTTGAGCATCATTTCTTATTTGTCCTGTTGTCACAGTGACAGGCTGGGGATGAACCGGAGTCACTCCTACGCCCCCTGCCCCATGTGATCTGTGCATCAGCACCACACAGCTGTTCGCTGTTCAGATAACGACGGCCTTTGTTACGAAGCATCATGCATGCATGCATACACACTTATTGCACTCGCACTGTGAACATGCACAGGTGCACACAGCACACACAGGCACACGTGTAGAGGCACATGCAGGCACACACAAGCACACATACACATACCTGTACACACGCACAGACAGTGCACACATGGACACACATGCACAGGCGCACATGCACACATGTGCTAAAGGGCCAGAGCATGTGGTTAGTGCCACTGAATTGCCAATGCCGTGAGGTCTGCTGTTCTAGCACCGCCTGCTCGCTGGCCATGCTTTAGCGCAGACTCCAATCGGAACCCTGCTCATCAGGTGACTTGAGACCCAGCGGGGGTCGCGTTAGGTTGCCAAAGAGAGGAAATGAGTATCAGCCTGCGTCAGTTACAAGGAAATAAGGGCCTGGAGTGAAGTCATCAGGAGAGCAACACAAAACCCCGTGCATTCATGCTTATCGCCACCTGAGCCAGGTGCTCTGACACCTACGCCACCTTCCTGATGTCCGTGTACGTGCACTTGTGTAACTTCCTCGGGGGTGACAAGTTCAGGCTCTGTTACACTCCTGGTGCGTTCCTGGTGTGCACACTACACACTGCCTTCTCTTTCCTGCAGGAGCTGGAGTTTCAGGACCTGACAGCCGTCCTGCACTGCGTCCACTCCTTCATGGCAGCTAAGGTGGCCTCAGTGGACGCCGCTTTCATGGACAGTCAGAGCGTCACCAGGAAGTTTATGTACAGCAGCTGAGCGTGGTCTGGTGACAATGCAAATTAAGTTACTTTCGTAAGTGACTTTCCTGCACAGCCCTGCGCTCGTGTGGCTTTCTAACGAGCCTACAGTTGTGACACCAATAAAATCCATCCCTAGTTTCCAGATGGGAGGTGCTTGTTAAATCGGATGGCTCTGTGTCACTGCGTTGCCCGAGGACGTGCGGGTGACCTCGGCACCACACCCCGGTGACACCCTGATTTCCTTCTCACGGAGATCCTGGGGCCTCGCCGCTTGTGTTTTCCTGGGGGTGTGGTTGTTCAGTGCCCCTTTTCCTCAGGGAGGAGGCTGAGCAGAGGGATGTGGGAAAGGAAATGGGCTTGAGTGATTTAATTTAATATTAAACATTTATAAGTTAATTCTTATGTAATGAAACAATGACCACTTAAAGGTTAATCTTCCTCGTTCGCGGAGTGTAACCTGCATTTGGTTTCCTTGTTTCTCACATAGTTTATTGCCTCTAAGAAGTTCCACGGTCTGTTTTCATTACCAAGAGCAACTTAACGGACTCTTGAATTTTCTTCCAGGGGTACAGACTGTAGTCAGAAAAAGTCAAGGTCATGTACTCATTTTCAAGGCTGCAAGAACAGGAAGCATAAAACCACCAGACGGTACCGTACGGAGGGGAATTCTGAGAGGCCCGTGCGTCCTGCAGCTGCTGCAGGGCACACGTGTGACCAACGCGAGGGGTTTCAGGGTAGCTCCCCGTAGCCCCCACCCCTGTGGAGCTGGTATTTAGGAAGAAGGAACTTGCTTATTTATAATGTATCAAATATTTACAAGCGATGGTTTTTATGTTTGAAAATATAGCCTCCCTTTTAGAGGACATCTCTCTATATTTTACATATAAAATTCCATTTACATTTTAATGACTTCCTCGAAGATGCTAACACAAATCCAGTATTTATAGTGAATGTTAAATATTCCGAGAGCTTGACGTTCACAGAGCATTAGGAAACAGTGTTCTTTGTAGATATTTATTCTCTTGTTTTAACTCAAGCTTTAACTCAAATATTAATACTAATAGCAGTAGGAGTTAGAATTTTATAAAATATTCACCAGCTGAGAAACATAAAGTTAGAAATGTCCCTTTCCCTCGGTTCTCTCCTGGTTGGATAGTTTGATCTCAGAATTTAATGGGCTCTCATTTTCCTCCCTCGTGCTAAAGAGCCTAAACTCACGCAAACATAGATGTGCTCTGCGCTAAAGAAGAAAGGAGCTGTGAGGACGTTTGCCTTAGGTTTTCGTGAAGAAAACAGTTTAGAACGCGCGTTTCCCAGGCAACGAGGGAACGCTAGCACACACTTGGACGCCGCGGGGCTCGCCAGTCCTGGGCTCTTATAAACAGTCCACAGGGAGCTTCTCACAAGTCCGCCTGGTCGAATTTGGAGGTAAGGCGCTGCTGGGCTGTGTCCCCAAGAGTCCAGGGGTTTAGCAGTGGATCAGGACGGCCTCTTCACTCATCTGACGTGGGGACCCTTCCGAAGTGGACGTGGCCTTCATGTCGCCCAGGGCATATGGGGGAACTGACGCTGTCACCACATCAGGCTCCAGTAGCTTCCTGTGACCGCCCTGCGCCTCCTCGTGTCCGTGTGCAGGTCGGGGGCGGCTCGCTGACCTGCCCCCCAGCCAAGGGCCACAGGGGACCGGGGAGCATCAGTGTCCTCACACCGAGGCTGAGCCTTTCCTCACACGGCCCCTTGGTCCCATGAAATGAGAGTAAAAGCAATTAACAACAGCAAAAATGACATTCCCATGGCAACTTAATGGTGTTATTTTTAAGCTGCACAAACTTCAATGCTGCTGGCAGTGACAGGAAAGCAAGGCTGGCGTTTATGAAAGCATTCCCGAGGGCTCGGGGCAGGACACTTAGTGTGCGCTGCCCCAAAAATGCGCTTCCTGGGTTGGCGATGACAGAAGGCAGCGCAGAATTTGGTTGGCAAGAGGATACACGTTTTATTTGTACCTAACAGTAAATTTGTACCACAGTGGAAGATGGCAATATTAAATAACATATATTTTCCCTGAGAGAAAATTTTCTCTCGTAATGAACTGTTCCTTTAAAACTGGAATTTAAAGCAAATGTAAAACAAAACAAACGTCCATGGTTTCCTCCAGGGAAAGCAAAGTTCCCGTTTCCTTTAGGTTGTTCTTTACCTCTGTTTACAGAGAAGCAGCCCAGACTCCCGCGCAGACTGTGCCGCAGAGGTTGGGGGGCTTCCCGAGCCCTCCAGGAGTGACATGTGGGCACTTCCGTTCCTTTGGGGGCATCTGAGTGGTTTGCGATGGGCGTTTTCGGAAGTCAGCTCCAAGGTGACCCCGGGATTTCTGTGCATCGTGAAAAACCGCCTCTTCTTGAAGCTCAGAGCCAGACGGGAGGTGGGTGGGCTGGTGGCTGGCGGTGTGGGGGGACGTCACACGGCCTCCTCCTCCTGTGAATAGGGACTGTGTGTGTCCCCAAAAGCTCACACGGAACCCACAGATTCAGATAAGGACAAGGCCACAAGCCAGGCTGTGGCTCGCCCTGACTGGTTTCTGACCCTTTGTCCTCAGAACTGATGAAATTAATGTCGACGTAGCCACCAGAGTCTTTCTCCTGCCCTGGAGGAAATGTTCAGGAAGTTAGCACAGCTGTGGAAACGCCCAGAAGGTGGAGGGGGACCCGCGACGCGGCTCAGGGTTCTGGGGTGAGTGCCTCGTCCGTGGTTAGGTCACTCCAGACTCCATTCTTCCCACTTCAAAGTTGGGATGTGGGTCATCTGAGCAGCTGGCTACGTGGTTTAATTGGAAAGTGCCTTTAAGGTGTTTGACAGCAGAGCCGGCCAACTACGGCCCCTGGCCAGCCGGCCCCACGGCCTGTTTCTGGGGACACACCACGTACCATCGGCGCCGCATCTCACTGAGCCGCACACCTGAGCAGACTGTCACCGGGAGCGTGTGGTCTCCTGGGTGTGTCCCATGTCATCGGGCGAGTGTCCTGCAGCAGCAGCCATTTAGTCTCCGGCTGTCAGGGCCACATTTTCCAGAGTGTTGCTGAGCTGGGGTCTCCAGGCTGCACCATCAGAAGCTTGGTGGGGCTGGTCCCGTCCAGGGGGCCTCCTCCCCATTGGCTCTTGATTGATGGGCCCCACGCAAGCAACTCCGGGGGGCAGCGTGGCAGCACCTGTCCCGACTCTGTCCTGGATGTGCCACGTCCCTCTGGTCCCAGCCAGCTCCCCTGGTCTGCGGGTGGAGACACCCAGCGCGGGAGGTCGAGGCCGCAGCGAGGGCCCTTGGGAGCCGTCCTGCAGGCTGGCTCGCACGTGTCTGCCACTTCAGTCCATTTTTACAAATGCGCACGTGCTTCAATGCGACATGAAGTTTTACTGGAATTAATTGCTTCTGCTTCTTCTGGACTTGACTTGTTTGGTTTTCAAGAACGTGGCTGCCTCCATGGTGCAGATGACATTCAGTCCTCACAGCAGCCCTGTCACATGGACACGTAGTCCTTTGTCCACGTTTCGTAGAGGGTAAGACCGGGCGAGCACAGGTTGTGTGACTTGGACAGTGTCATGAACCACTAGAGTGGAGCGAGGTGTGAGGGCCGTGGCAGACGGCACAGGACTGAAGTCCTAACGGTTCTATAGTTTTGCCTTCTGGTGTAGCATTCATATTCCAGTAATTAAACACTTCCTGGGCATTTGCTGTGTGCAGACACTGTGTCAGCAGGGGGCTCAGAGGTGCCTAACCCTTGGCTGCTCCCCTCAAAGCCCCCACAGTGTGGGGGAGACAGACACCCAATCATCATGATGCCTCAGCAGGTGGCATCATGCGGCCCGAAGAGCTTGCTGGGCATCTGTCTGTCTGCTCTGCACTCTGAGGGGAGGGCAGGCAAGGAGGAGGGGCAGCCGACCAGGATGACACGGCTTGGAGATGGGAAAGGGCTTCCAGCAGGTGAGTGTCCCTGGGCTACAGACCCCAGAGAGGAGTGCGGGGGCCCCCAGGAGTCGGGGACGAGGGCTTGGGTGTCAGGTCGTAAGCTCCCCTCACTCACCTGCGGTTCACTCCACACACACTCGACCACTCTCTAGTTACAGGACACTGAGGCGACAGGAGTCACCGTGACAAAGCCCTTGCCCTAGGGGACAAGGCCACCCTTGTTGGTGAGACAAGGCAATCAGTCAAAGGGGCAGAAGCCTGGCCTGGGTGGTGGTGGGGGAGGTGGTGGGCAGGGCTCCCCAGAGCACAGAGCAGGCCCTGCTGACTTTCTATGGTACCCCCCCTACAGCTTCGTAAGTCACACTGACTGCCACCATCACTCTTCTTGCAAAATGTGACTCACATGCAGGTGACAAGGTGGTGACAAATAGGTGCACATGTCAATGCTGCATCAACCCTGTGAGGGGACCCCGTGGAATGGGGCCCCAGGACAGTTGGCGAGCCTGGTGTGCTGGTGGCGTGGGGGCCTGTGTGTGAAGCCCGAGTGGAAGGCCAGACGGCTCACACGCCCGGGGACAGCTGGAGACACACAACGTGCTCCCTGCACGTGCACCTCTTGCTGAGGGCGGCACACAAAATTCAACAGCCTGAGCACCTGTGAGGTGAATCGACGCAGCCACGCAGCATTGACCTGGAGTCCGAGATGTCTGGGATAAGCTAGATGCACCTGGTGAAGGTGAGGAAATTCGTCCGTGAGTTCTATCTTGGCAAGTGTGAGCCCAGCTCCTATGATGTTCAGCAGAGGGCCTGGCCAGCGCCAGACACGTTCCTATCAAGCCATCCGTCCACCAGACTGTTGGTGACACTGAACCAGAGGAAAGTGGCTTGGGACATTGCCACAGACCACGGGTGTCTGGAACACCCCAAACGCCTGTCTCGGCTGCTGCGGTGACATCTGATTGTGCTGAGGTGTCCCCCAGCCATAGATGTCACTGTGAACTGAGGGACAGTAGCCCCCACTAGTGCATCTTCCATTTGTTGCTTCCTCTGCCTTGTGTCTGAAGCCCAGTCGTGTCCAGCCTTCCTCCTCCTGGAAGGACCTGCCCATCCCTGCCCCCGGGGACCTCCTTTTTGTATGAACCCCTGCTAATGCCTTAATATTATAACTTTCCTGTCAAGAAACATGC